TCACTGACAAGCTAGGCAATATCACGTTCATAATCGAATGCGATTCATCTGCGATTATGAACGCGATATTGCCTAATTGTCAGTGAACTACGGCTCTGTGTAGTAAATGCCGCTCCATCTGAAAGCAGGTGATGGAGATTTACTACTAATCACGGGACCGGCTTTACTGACAAGATGCGCCTGACAATCGCATGCGATTAATTGCACAGCCCTAAGTAAAAATTATTTTGTAAATCACATTTTATTGTAAATCCCATTTTTTCATCTTTGACCTAGAGCAGTGGAGTGGTGCCCAACCCTGTTCCTGGAGATCTACCTTCCTGCTAGTGTTGTCAAAAGACCCGGTACTTCGGTACCAAGTCGGTACTAAAAAAAATTAAAACGTTACAGTACCAGGTTTTTTAAGTACCGGTGGTACCGAGTACCCGGTCAACCCGGTTCTTGATGCGCTATCCGAAAGGTGCGCAGATGTGCTGCGTCTGAATTAATTAGAATTATTAATCTTATCTTTGTACAGATATTCTAATGAATATAGAATTCATAAATTCAAAAATACCTAGTTGATGTGCTGCTTCTACTGAGATACTGAAGTGCACATCTAACCGACCTTTTACTATCCCAGAGAAGGTGTCGTATTTGTACATTTCAGGGAACATCAGCTGACGTTGTAGGTCACATGACAATGCCACCATGGCGAATACAGTGTGTCCAGACCGTATTCATACTATGAAAAAACACACTTACAGAACAAATGTTATTACCATTTTATTAAATGCAGTACAGCACTTTCAGACGCAGCTACTGTGCACCGCATCTCCAATTAATTGATTTTATTAAAAAAAATAAATTAAAAATCTTTTTTTTCAGAACTACTGCACATTTACATTTTCCTCCTAAATAAATTCTGGTAAATAACCTTTCTGGTAAATACTCCTTTAAAAAGTGTTTTTTGATTATAATTGTATTATTAGTAGACTAGAACATGTGGATATGTTGTCATTCTTACACTATAATACTGAACTTTGATTTCAGTGATTTGGACTATGAGATGGACACTTGCTTCTTGCACTCTATGTTGCACTTTACTTTTGCTTTAAAAAAGGATTTCATAGAAATTTGGGTTTCATTTGGTTTAATAAAATATAGTTTAATAAAATATTTTTAAGTAAAATTGTTGATTTTTTTTGTGGGAAATCAATCGTTTAGATTAATCGATAAATTATTCGATAGATTAATCGAAATAAAAATAGTCGTTAGTGGCAGCCCTACAATAGTTTAATAATAACTTTAGTCTGTTTTAATTTTCTATTTTTTTTAAACAAAGTACAGATTTATAATATCAGCCATTCATGTTAACAGTTATAACAAAATAATGTTTGGCTTTTTGGTAACATTCAGAATATCAAATTAGGCTTATAAATATCTACTGAAAGCACCATGAAATGGTTAGACAAATACACTTTTTCATACAACATACTCCCTATGTCCAAAATATCTCCTACTACTCTAAAACTCTTCTACTATAGTGCGCAAAAAGCCATACATCAAATCATTAGCATGTCCAAATATAGAATTCATAAATTCAAAAATACCTAGTTGATGTGCTGCTTCCACTGAGATACTGAAGTGCACATCTAACCGACCTTTTACTATCCCAGAGAAGGTGTCATATTTGTACATTTCAGGGAACATCAGCTGACCTTGTAGGTCACATGACAATGCCACCATGGCGAATACAGTGTGTCCAGACCGTATTCATACTATGAACAACCACACTTACAGAACAAATGTTATTACCATTTTAGTAAATGCAGTACAGCACTTTCAGACGCAGCTACTGTGTGCTTACTGAGTCACTGGGTCTTTACACTTCAGTGTCAAATTTAACTAAGAACAATCAAAGTATCTGCAGGATTTTGTCACTTCAGTGTGCTTTCTATCACCCTGACTGTATTGCTGTCACATTACTAGCAGGTAACCATCGACCACCCACTGTCTGTGTCTGTGTGTGTGTGTCATGTTTCAGTGCTCATGCTGTCTTGAGTTAAACACATGGATTCACATTAGAAGAACAGTCTGGCAGGGCTTATGTTTGTGGCATCATGGAGGGTTTGATGTCATTAATGAACTCAGATACACACTGGCGTTTCTCTGCTCTCTGAGCTCCATTAGGTCATGGAGGATAAATGGTATTATTTTGGCCCCACTGTTTCCTGCATACCTAAACATGCAGCGGTGTCCAGTAAAAGTGAATAAGTGTGATTTCATAAAACAGGACGTGCTTGTTAAAAAAACATTACGCTAAAGGAAACTGACAGAATCACACAGTGGTAACACCAGACCCATGCGAAATACAAGATGGACAGAGTAAATTCTTCTGTTCCCATCGCAAGCTAATCAAGACTGAATCCTTTCCTTAAAGGGGTCATGACATGAGAAATCAAATTTGCCTTGATCTTTTGGCATATAAGAGGTCTTTGTACCATTAAAACATCCTGCAAGTTTCATAGCTTAAAACATCCTCCTCATTATAAACAAAGCATTTATTTAATCAAGCTCCAAAAATGGCTCGTTTGGATATGAGGTGCAAGATGACATCACCCGGGCACAAACATTTGCATAAACCCAGCCTCAAGAGCAAGACATTGATGAATAGCCTTCTTCTCACCATAGGCCCCGCCCACTGGCATTCAGTCACTTAACGGCTGACTCTTGATTATGCTAAATCGAGTGTCGCATCGCATCAAAAGCATATAGAAATTACGATCACTGCCGCTATCTTGTCTACACTTTCTGGCACAGTCCACGCAGCTGTGCAAGATTACATCACCCGGGCACAAACATTTGCATAAACCCAGCCTCAAGAGCAAGACATCGATGAATAGCCTTCTTCTCACCATAGGCCCCGCCCACTGGCATTCAGTCACTTAACGGCTGACTCTTGATTATGCTAAATCGAGTGTCGCATCGCATCAAAAGCATATAGAAATTACGATCACTGCCGCTATCTTGTCTACACTTTCTGGCACAGTCCACGCAGCTGAGTCTGTCGTCAATTGGACAAATGGAGTGAAAAAATGTTCACTTTCACGCGTTTGGTTTAAACAGCTCATTCTCGTCTTTGTACAGATATCAGAAGAATCCCAGCGTAAAGGAACAAATGTATAGTTTATTTTTAATGACATCCCGGATCATGTCAGATGATTGATACCGGTATTACCGGTGTTGTCACACGTCGATTAACCGGTGGGAAAATTTCCTCACCGTCACAACCCTAGATTGATCGGTGCATATTGTTTTGTAAACGAGGCACAGTGTCAGGGAGAGTTCACAAAGAAACATTTGTTGAAAAATGGAGCAGTACTAGATCTGACTGCAGCTGCATCACACTGTAAGTAAATTATTTCATAATGCTTTGTCTGGAAATGACAATCTGAAAATCTGAAAATTTTATTTTGATCATGTTGTCAAAACACTCACATGCAATAGTGAGGGGGCGTTGATACTGTTTCCTATGCAATCACGTTAGCCAATCATAACAGTGGCCGATTACTGGCAAGCCTTAAAGGACACGCCCCTTAAAAACAGGTCGTTTTAGAGAGAGGGTCAGAATGAGGATTGAAAATAATCATTTTTCCACAAATTTGCGCAAAAAAACTTTTTAAGATTAGAAGTAAACCTCAAGGAAAATATTAAAATAATTTTAAAAAATCCACGTCATAACCCCTTTAGGTTAAAGAACTGTTCATCTAGCACAACTCGACTGTGGCTCGATAACCCAGGGCTAGTAATGCAGTGATTCTCAACCCTTTTGACTCCATAGACCGCAACAATATTCGAAGGCCTCGTGATGTTTCTAGTTGTTTATGAATTACGATTTCACAAAATAAATAATTATTTCGAATTACGAAATAAGATTTTATTAATTTACATGACTTTTCCAGGTCTAGAAATCACACCTTTAAAATGAAATTACCTCATATATCTAGGTTTTTCAATAGAGTGGGAATTAAAATAAGAAATGTCTTGTTTTATAGTTGCTTTACATGTTTTGTCTTATTTAAAAGTCATTTTGAGACCCATCTGGAAGTTTTCTGAGCCCCCAATGATCTAATATTTGTCACTACATCTTGTATTTGTTGATCATAGTTATGTTTTGATACTGCAGAATGAAAAGTCCAGCTATTACTGCAAATGAGAAAAACTGATTTGTTATAACTTTGTTTTGTTAAGAATATTTAGCATATAATAAAAAAATAGCTTAAAGAAGCCTTTGGAAATAACATTTGAGATAGAAAGAAACGAAAATAAACTCCAAAAAAGTTTTATCTTAAATAAAAAAAATTATATTGTGGTAGCTCTACTGGCCAACAAAACAAAACAAAACTAAACTAATTAAAAAAAAAAAAAAACATGCTTTTGTTAAGCTTAGTTTGTATAGATACAAGTAAAGTAGAGCATTTCTCAAGCAGAAAGTAGCTTCTCTTTATAGAAAGAATTGTGAATCGTCATTTGTTTAGTTCTCAGATTCTGACAAATGTAACGCCTAAGGAAACAGGCTGACTGAGACACTACCAAACTCTCTCTGCAGCAACAAACTGGCTATCCTAAAGAGCAGCATGCATTGTTTTAGGTCGCTTTGGTTTAAAAGCATCGGCTAAGAAGTCTAAAATGTCAAGTTATCTAAAATCCTTGCTGACACTTAATTTGCTAATGAAAAGATCAATGGAAACATTTAATAGATTAGCCATTTTAAAGCAGAGAAAGTGGAGATAAGGGGCATTAACCCAGAATCAGATTCTTTCAGACAAAGAGGTGATTATGTTAAGCACTTTGATATATGAGATGTTTAAACACCGTTCTGACAGGATGACAGTGTAATCTTGTGCACTAAATTTTCAACCGAAGATAAGAGGGCAAAAAACTCACCCACCTACCCACCCACACACACACACACACACACACACACACACAATGACCTAATGTTGGAGAGTTCTAACCTTCTTCTTGCTGCAGTATATCTGCCATTTCTTTTCTGCTGGTAAGGCAAACATGGCCTCTCTGTGCTTCTCTGTGAGGTCCAGCTCATCCTGAAATAAAAGAAAAAGAAAGACAGAAAGAGAAAAGAAAGATTAGATATTTTTTAACCTGGACATGGCAAAAACAAACTGCAAACCCCTTGAGGCAGGGTCAATATCCACCCACAAACCAATGATAACAGCATGTGGAAACCACAGAATGTTTTTTCAACTTTCTCCTTACCCACAAATACTTCCTCAAATCCTCCAGCAGAGAGGACACAGAGGAAATTGACAGAGAGAGAGAACAAAACGTCCATGATAGCAGACAGACAAAGTGGTGATGTGCACTGCAGACCTGGCGAAATGACATTTCTTTCCACTGTAGACTTATATATGGCTGGAATGATAATAAACCAAAGTTTACTTGAACTTCACTTGACTTGAGATTGGAAAACGCAAAGGAAATGAATCATATGGATTACAGTGGATATATCTCAGTTAATGACAGCTTTTCCTATCAAATGAAAATGCCAATGCTTGTTTAAAAATCAAAAGCTAGGGTTGTGTGTCAATCCTGAATTTAAAATGAATATGAATTGAAGAGGCAAAAAGAATTAAGACTAGGGATGCACCGAAATGAAAATTCTTGGCCGAAGCCGAACAAAATTAAACACTGGGCCGAAGGCCGAATACCGAATACGGTTTTTCGAGTTTTTTTCCCCATGTATTTTGGCAATTTTTTTTTCACCATTGCATAAATGAAAAAGCCAAATTGTGCTTTTTACTGTTTTGTCTTGCTTTTCAAAAAAATCAATTACAAAACAACAATTTAAAAATATTTAACACTGAACATTTTTAACATTCTAGCAGACACTATACCAACAAAGCACAATTTAACAATTTTTAAAAAAGCATTTTTTTTACTGTACAATTAAAAGCAGCCTTGCTGAGAAGAGACTTCTTTTAAAACATTAGAAAATATTACAGATCCTAATTTGAACACTATGTGTGAATGTTATAATAAATGTATTAAAACAGAGCTGTTGTAATGATTATTATCATTATTATTGTCTTATTTTATTTTACAGAACAACAGTAAAATTACAATACTAACATTTATGAATGTTGATAAGAGTTCTTGCTTTTTCTTAACTTTTATTTTGGCGGAAATGAGCAGGAAGACCTCAATGCTTATTTTTGTTGACAACAGATTTATAAATGAGTCTCATTACGAATACGTCGTACGTATCGCATTGTCACATGCCTTGTAAAAATTCATAAAAATGTGACTGAGCAACTGACGACTGTATCAGCGCAGATTTTCCTCGCGCTTTGGACTTTAGACCCTGGTTAACAAGCAGATCTGCGGCGAGTTCGTGCAGCGCTGTCAGAACACATGCAATCCGTCATGCGATGCAGTCCTAAACAGTCTCTCGCTGTCGGTGCTTGCAATGATTTTTGCGTCTTTCTCCGACGGTTTAAATGCTTCCACACTGCTGACATGTGTGCAGTAGGGATGGAACGATTACCGGTTTTGCCGATTAGGGATGGAACGATTACCGGTTTTACGATAAATCACGATAAAATGCCCTGACGGTTAGTATTACCGTTTAAAATGTAATTATCATCAAAACCGTGTTTGATTAACGCAATTTTGAAAACTCGCCGTAAATCTTGTCCAGCCAGCATCAGTCTGACGCAGAAGCAGCATGCAATGTTGTTGTTTTTGTTTGTTTTTTGCACGAGATGAAATGGCGGAAGGCAGTGACAGCACTCGGGAGATTTTTCAGCCATCTAAGAGGACCAAATCGGTGGTCTGGTCGTATTTTGGCTTTTACAAGGGTCCTGAAGGCAATTTAATCGAGGACGGTCACCCTGTCTAACGATCTTGCAAGAAGAAAGTAGCTGCAAAAGGGTGCTATTGACAACAGTCATTATAAGGAAGGAAATGCAGCAGAACAGAATAAAGTACTCCAGTAGTATAGTCACCTGAACCAACAACTTATTTTGTTCATTTAAAATGTGTGTTTGTATATATATATAAAAGTTTATCGGTTTTTGCAAATGAACTCTTCATATGTATATATACTGTATATATGTGTGTGTGTGTGTGTGTGTGTGTGTGTGTATATACTGTGTATATATATATATATACATATATATATATATATATATATATATAAGTGATTTATTATTATTATTATTAGGGCTTCATGTTAATGTTAATTTAATGTTTATGCTAAAAAAAGTGCATATGGCTGCTAATTGTGTTTGTCGTTTGTTGATTTTCAAATATAAAACTTATTGAAATGTTTTCAGTATGTGTATCAGTTCTTTTTGAACATTTTCATCTCATTTTAACAAAACTGTGATAATATTGATAATCGTGATAACTTTGTGCACTATAATCGTGATATGAAATTTTCATACCGTTACATCCCTATAATACATTGATGGATATAAAGTTCAAATATAATTTATTTGAAACAGAAGTTTTTTTGCAACATTATAAAAGTTTTTACTGTCATATTTCATCATTTATTGGATCCTTATTGCACAGTATTAATTTCTTAAAAAAAAAAGAAAATCATAATGGGCCCAAACTTTTGAACATAATATACATTGTTCAATAAAGCTAGCAGTCCACTAATGCAGATCTCAGTGTGTCGGTTTCATTTAAGCACATGCAATTTTGATCATATCAATCCTATGAAACACCTGCAGAACCTGATAGTGGAAAAGGACAGTTTCAGCAGTCAAAGTTGATTGAATGTGAACTCTACGAACTGAATTGGATCACATTCAAGGATCGACCTGCCCATTTCAGCAGCAGAACCTAATAAAGAGGCCTCTCAGCGTACATCTCTCACTGTAAATCCCTGCATGTATAGCGCTACATCTGTCTGACAAATCTGGTAATGGCTTCCTGTCTGGCAGTTCTTGGTGACAGTGATGTCCCTGATGCTCCACAGGGATGCAAGAGAGAGGAAGAGCTGCTGTTCCTCTCATCCGGTCTGGTGTCTCTTCCATCTCTCATCTTCCTGCGAATCCCCCGGCCTTTAGCGGAAACGAGCTGCACAGTCAGCAGAAAGTCTAGACATCCCCGGCATATACGCATAAAGACCATACGCGTACAGTGCTTTGTTACAGTCAAGAGCAGCCAGACTACAACCAGGATGTTCCATTCATGCAGAAAACCACATCTTGCCTTATCTGAACCCAACACGCCACATCAAGCCCCAGCATTCAGCTGCAGAACAAACATTAAAGCCTGGGCCGTGTGCATCAATCTATCAATGCTCTACATCACTACAGCAAACCTTTCAGCACTCATAATGAGGAAAACGTCCACTGTAGAACATAAACTCTCTATTGTAGACTGTCCAGTTGTGGGCTGTGGGCTGTCAAATCAAGTCTTGATTAAAATAAACTTGCACTCTATTAGAGAATACAGTTGGATAACTCTCGAATTACATCAACGAAAATAGTTTAAGAGTTTAAAAGAAGTCATGAATTACAATGGTTTATTGAAGCCGTATAAAGCATTACTATGCCTACATGCTTTATACAGACGTTAAAAAGATAGCTCAACTGAAAATCAAAGTTCTGTCATATTTATTCACCCTCATGTCTGTCCAAACCTCTTGGTCCCGCAGAACACAAAAGGAGAAATTTGTCACTCTTTTCCATGCAATTACAATAGCTGTTTCCATTCACATATTTTGATGCGCATTTTGGGATATCACTTAAAAAAGCTGAATGGAAAAGCCAAGATGTGCATAAAATCTTAAAATGTGCATAAACAATTTCTGTGCTTAATTGAGATGGACTTTTTTTAAATCCGATAAGAAAATATGCACATAAACATGAGGTAAACACTCACAGATTTAATTCCAGGATGCGCAAAAAAAAAAATACAATTCTCATGAGACTTTGCCTCAACAGATATATGACTGGATAACTGGACTAACCAGCTGACCAATCTCTCAATGCACACCATTTCAAATCTTATTTTAGTCATTCAAGTTTGTCATCAAAATGATTTTGTATAATTACCTCCCAGAATTGTCTCTCACAATTACTTTCCCACACATTTGGCATATGCCTCCAAACGCAAAATAATATGACAGCTTTTGTTATTGTTTTGTCTGTGCATTCTAGAGGCGGGAAAAGCTACATTGGCTTCCATATTTATTACTTATAGTTTGCGTCAGTTTCCCAGGAAGCAAGCAACTATTTTGTTTTACTGAACACATAAGATGGAAACAGTGCTTTATCTGCAAATGTTTCATATGATATTCCAATTTTTAACTTCACAACTTTTGATGGAAACATAGCTAAGGAGCTTCAAAAAGGATACAAAACACCACAAATGTCATGTGCAACATTTCTATTTGTCATTTGCAAGTCTTCTGAAGTTATATCATAACTTTGTGTGAGAAATGTTCAGAAACTTTAGTCATTATTCAATGAAAATAATGACATCCACTCTAGCTCTGTTTGGTGTGGTCATGAGAGAAACAGCAATGTCCAATATGCGAATGAATCATTTGGACTGATAAGCTTATGGAATTCAACTCATTGAAGACACATCAATCATGTGGATCACGTTTGCAATATTTTTATGGTCCTTCTATGCCCACATTTATTGTAATTGTATGGATAAGAGCAACCAGTAGCTTACATTCTTTAAAATATATATTTTTTCTAATTCACGTAATTTAAACAATGACAGAATTTTAATTTTTGGGTGAACTATCACTTGGATTCTATGCCATAAAAGGATTATAACGCAATAATTTTGGTTGAGTCTCAAATGTAATATCTGGGGCCAATCATAACACAAAATACCTAATCTAATTCTATAAAAAAAGACATATCATGGCTAAATCACATGGAAACTCCCTTCATGTACCTCATTATTTTCATTTTATCCTGAAAAGCCCCTTTGTTCCAAGAATATTTTTGCAATTCTAATGTACTCAGTGTGCTGAATATGATGAATTTTTAAGAAGATTTTGCCAAGCCCTGACATGAAGGGAAATTTGCATAATAACCTCTAAATAAACTAAATAAATGTCAGCTACAGTATTTCAAATAATTACCCAGGTATCTTCTACTAAACATAATATTACTTTTCATGAAAAACAACATGTGAATAAGCAAGCAGGTTGCCAGTTACGCAACACCGGTTTACAAACTCAACAATAACTTGCCAGAACGGCGCGTGCTGAGAGCATGAAATATTTCTATGAGGGCTGTGAAAAGAGAGCAACTGCTGCTGCTTTGTGTTGTACATCAATTCGAACCCAAGTACAGGGAAAGGGAGGTTAAGTGTGGGTCAGACCAAAAACAAGCAATTACTCTGCAGTGCAGTCCAAGACACAAGGCCACTCAATGGAACCCATTGATGTGCAAAGTGGAAGCTGGCAGAGATGAAGGAGGAGACGACGAGAGAGAGAGGCAAAGTCTGCAGCACGCCACACTGCTGCGATTTCTATTCAAGCAAGGATTAAAGACAACATGTTTGATGGATCAATTACAGCTCTTTAATTATGCTAAATTAGAGCGCAAACACGGAGGAACTGAGTATGTGAAAAATAATGCTTTGGTTCTTCGTTAATTAGCTCCACATGCAACACATAAAAATTCTAGTGTGATGGTAAAAATGCTTACTTTATTATTATTAGTAGTAGTAGTATTAATATAAATGTTATATATTTATATATAACTAAATAAAATAAAATAAAATAAAATAAAATAAAATAAAACAAAATAAAATAAAATAATGCACACTACTGTTCAAAAGTTTGGGCTCAGTAAGAATTTTTTATTCAGCAAGGATGCATAAAATTTGTCTAAAAGTGACAGTAAAAACATATATAATGTTACCAAAGATTTCTATATCAAAGAATCCGGGGAAAAAAGAGAAATGTTTCTTGAGCAGCAAGCTCAATTTCTCAATGAGAAATTAGAATGATTTCTGAAGGATCATGTGACACTAAAAACTGGAGTAACACGGAAAATTTAGCTTTGCCATCACAGGAATTAATCATATTTTAAAATATATTCAAATAGAACACAGTTACCTTAAATTGTAATAATATTTCCTAATATTACTGTTTAACTGTATATTAAACTGTACAAATAAATGTAGCCTTGGTGAACATAAGACACTGCTTTTAAAAATGTTTACCAACCTCAAACTTTTGGATGGTAATGTAATGTAATGTAATATAATTGATAAATACTGGAAGAGTAATCGTCCTGGTCGATATAGATCTGTTCCTGAAACAAAGTCAGATTCATTGGTCTTATCTGACAGAAGTCAGCAGCGATAAAACTATACAGAAATGTTAGAAGTTGGCACCTACCACCAGCTCTGAGAACATGGCATCCAGCTCGTCATAGCTGGGGATGGGCAGCGCCGGCTCCATGGCCTGCAGGGCGAAGTCCTCCCGCAGACGGTAGGTGATCTCTGGGTGGTCACTGCTCTGGAAGCAGCAGAAGAAGAAGGACACGCCGTGCCCTCCGCCCCCGCGTTTCCGTGGCGTCATGGCTGCTTCAGAGTGGGGGCTCAAGGGATGATGGGAATGAGGGAGTGCTGGTCCTCCCCCAGGTGAGAGCTACGCTTGGGTCACTCAGCCCTGTAAGAAAACAAAAAAAGAAACTTTCATCAAGACTTGAGGTCTTTTCTCAGGACAAAGACTTTCATCAGCCTTGATAAAGTCCAGGCAACAACCCGATGATCTAACAGTTCTGCTTCATCTAAAACTCTAAATCAAGAAGTCAACCCAGAAAGACTCCCCTAGGCCTAGTCAACACCACAAGTAGTCACATAACGTGCATGTAATCATCAGATTTGCTCATTCCAACTAACCACATCACAGGAGCGACTACGGACCACAATGCATCACTCCCTACATAGGATTACAGAGGCTGTGCAAATTAACACAGCTTGCATCCACATGTGTTAGGCCACATCTATATTTAGGACAATAGAAAGAAATCCTGGGTTCCAGCGACCACAAACAAAAATAAAAAGCCTTTTATAAAATCCAAACATGACAAATAAGAGAACAGGAGACTGCAAGTTAAGTCACTTCACTGAGTCAATGACAAATAAGTCACAATATATGCGTTTACAATAAAGAAAAGAAATTATCTTTATAAAAAGAAAAACACCTGCCAATATTTAAGATATGCAATATTTGTATTGTTTCGTAAAACATAATAAATAAATAAATAAATAAATAAATAAATAATAATAAAAAAAATTATAATATACTTAAAGGTCTTAAATATAAAAAAATAAGATTTATAATTCTATATTGAAATATATGTTTAAAGGAAAAGTTACATACACATACACACTTTTAACATAGATAAAACATTTTTCAATTAGTTTTTTTTCCCATTATTATATAAGGACAGTTGCATCACCCTGACTTTTTTGAATTTGTGCCCCAAAAAATAAAATTAATTTTAATTAGTGTTGTCAAACGATTAACTGCATCCAAAATAAAAGTTTTTGTTTACATAATATATGTGTGTGTACTGTG